TATTCGGTATTTTTAGAATTTAAACAGAATTTTTTTAAGATTTTATTTCCAAATTCGTTCCAAATGGTAGAGGGTATTCAAAGTTCGGCCCGGCCGAACTTACTAATTTTTTGAGATTGACCAAAATGGTATCGTCCAATAGCCCAGTGAAAAAATGTGGCTAGAACTTTTAAAACACCAATATCTGGGGTATAGGTTTATACAGCGGTTATTTTAACATATATACAGACATACAGTGGGCATCTACGAATTAGTTAGAATTATAAGCCAATGTGTAGTATTAATAATGATCTCAATATATCAAATTACAGCCAATTCCGCACAGTCAAAATATAGGTCTTATATATCAAACTTTTCTTGAGACCCTTTTTCGTATTAATAGAATCCAAAAAGCAAAATTACAAATACAATGCTTTAATATTGAAGTCGATGAAAAAATTTGAATTTCATTCACCAAATACCTAATTATAGCTATTTCGTGCAAAAATTGTGGCCTATATCTTTAGTATCCCAAATAATTAGAAGGTACCTTCATATGAGGGCTACCAAATATTAATCCTATATTAGATATTTTCCGGAATCGTTTGAAATATTCAGCAACCTAAAAAGCCCAACAACATCTAATTTGGTTAAAAATTGTACTAAAAACATTCAATATACAAGGTGAGATAAAAAAAACTGCAACAAAGTCAAACGCCATAATTTTTACATTGTTTTTTAAATTTTATTGAATGAAAGCAAAAAATGTCTGAAATATCTTCAAATTTTGGAATTAGTTTAGATTTGTTCAAATTGGTCACCTTTGGCACGAATTATGGCCAACGAAACCGCCAAACGCTGTCCGAATGTTGCTCTGCAGTATTTTGGCCCATTTCCGGCGAAGCGCTTGCTTGAGGTGATCGACACTTTGGTATTTTTAGTGCCAACTTTGCTTTCCAAAATACTCCAGACACAATAGTCCAACGGATTAATATCCGGAGATTTTGGTGGCCATTGTGCGCTGGAAATGAAGCGAGGAACCCCATGTTGTAACCATTCTTGGGTGGCGCGTGCTGAGTGCGATGGTCCTGAGTCCTGTTGGAATGTCAAAGGTCTGCGGTCAAAATGTCTGCGTGTCCAAGGCTTTAATACACCCTCCAGAATATTTTCGCCATTTATTCTGATGCCACAGTCGATTTATACGAGCGGAGAGCTGTTATGACGGCCCACACCATCACTGGCGCTCATTGCCGGCGCTTGAGTTCTGGTGGCGGTGTAAATGCTTGCACTTTTTTAAATCATTTTTCAATATTTGTCAAATGGAATATTGCGATATGTTCAGCTCAAGAGTCATTTGTTGACCACTGCGACGTAAGTTTCGATTAATCGATCATGTCTCTTTTTTTACTTTTTGAACTATTTCTGCTGATGTGGCTGTTTTCTTCCATACACTTCCTTAATGTCGGTCATTTAGCAAATATGCTTAAAAATTCCAGATTATGCTCCAATAATCCGTTAGGAAAATTTTCTTCAAATCATACATGAAATGTTTGATTCGGATAATCTTTCCTTCAAAATTCCTAAAAAATACACAATTACAGCTTTCGAGGTCGTTCTGAAAACATAATTTTAAAATCCATGATTATAGCTCTGATAATACCTTAGAAAATATTCACGGTTATAGTGTAACATTTTTCTTAAGAGCTCCACGAGTACAGCTCTCGTGATAATAATTCTCTTAGATATTGAACAATATTTTGAAATAAAAAGTTTTCACCAGTAGGCTCAAAAAATAATTTTAAAAGTCCTTTTTGAAAGACCTCTAATAGTCCTTGTTCTTGAGAAAAATCTATCCAAAATCTCTCAAAATATATCACTAAAAATCGTAGGTCATGGCTCAAATGGTAAATAAAATCTTTTATATTCTTTTAGAAAACATTTATAACAATACACGTTTCCATATCCTATAGACTTTCAGGAAATTCTCTAAAAACTTGACAAATATGGGTCCCAAGAACTTATAATAATTCTTAGAAAAAAATAAAAAAAATCTTTAAAAATCCACATGCAATTCAGCTTGTTGACAATTTCTTTATAACAACTTCCTTAGCGGCACAGCTTGTTCATAAGGAAATACTTTTTAAAAATCCAGGAATAGTCCTTTATTTCCTTTTTCAGGAAATGTTCCTTTAACCTGATTTATTTCGCTCTCATGTTATTTCAAAAATATTTTCATAGTTTTCATATTTTGTGAAGAACGAGCTTCACAATGAACTTTAAAAAATCAAAAATTATAGCTCCGATGGTTTTTCATCACCAAGTTTTTGTTGTTCGGCAAACAGGAAGATTGTACAAAAGCTACTGTGAAAACTTTAGGTTTATTTAAAAACTTTTAAGTCATCTTTTTTTTTTTTTGCTGTTCAATATCTGTGTAACTCAAAATGTTTCATTCCCTACAAGCTTGAACTCATCCGCTCAAATTATCTGCACAAGACTAGAGTTTAATATTTTCATTCTTTTATGGCTAAAACATAAAATCATTGTCACAGATGTTTAATATTTTTACTCTCTCGCAAAAAAAAATCAAAATATGCAGGTAGAACCAAAGAAATCATAACAATAACAACAACTATACCAAACAGATATTGAAATTGTAAAGAGAATGTGGCTGGGGAAAATTGTTCGAATCTAGACAAAGTTGGTGTCTATGATTGTACTTAGTAGCTGGTTGGCTGACTGGCAGGATGACTGGAAGTCTGGCAAAGTGTTGTCTGTGTCTGTACATTTGTTTGTGTGACCGTCCGTGTGTCGGTTTGTCTGCATGTTATCCTTGACAGGAAACCTAACGGTGCATAACAATAATTTTCAGTCTGTGCCGGCGAACCAAATCGAGACAGACGTGCAGTCATGTCTGGCATTCAGTTATAGTTTATTGTTTCCGACACTGCAACTGAAAATCCAGCATTGAGAGGGGGAGTATCTGGAAAATTGTTGTAAGAGGAATGTGAGTTATGGAAGGAGGAGGTAGGAGTACTCTACTATTCCACCTGGTTTTTTGTATGAATGAATTTACACCTTACAATAAAATTCAGACGAATTTTAGACTAATTCTTGATTGTTCGGTATTGTTTTCAAAATTTCATAGAATTTATGTTATCAGAAAAACAGAGAGAGAAAGGGATGTGGGAAATTGCATTTTTTTTTGCTGAATTATGGTCGTGAGAAAGAAAAACAATGCTTTGCAAACCCCTTTTTAAGGCACAGGTGTTGTCAATCGAATAGAAAATTATGTAATACAGGTGATAGCTTAGATGGAAATCAATTTTGCAAATCGTAACAAAAGCTAGTTTTAAAAGGATATTTATATGAAAAAAGGAAACTGTTCTCATATTACTGCCGCTAGACTGCAAAAGGACACCCTGCATATAGAATGACATAAAATAAGGCTATGATGCATTTAAAACCTAGCATCACTGGAAATCAATAATAGAAAATAATGGATAATGTAGGGATTCAAATCATACATGTCCTTTGACATACTACACAAATAATGTGTACAGAATGAGATAAAAAACTGCAACAAAGCCAAACGACATATTTTTTACATTTTTTTTCTTATTTTATAGAATGAAAACAACAAAGGATGGAAATAGCATAAAATTTTAGAATAAATTCAGATTTGTTCGAATTGATCACCTCTGGCACGAATTATGGCTTTCATACGGCCATTGAAATCGTCACACGCTGCCCGAATGTTGCTCTGCGGTGTTCTGGTCCATTCCCGGCAAAGCGCTTGCTAGAGGTGATCGACACTTTGGTATTTTTAGTGCCAACCTTGCTTTCCAAAACACTCCAGACACAATAGTCCAACGGATTGGTATCCGAAGTTTTTGGTGGCCATTGTGCGCTGGAAATGAAGCGAAGAACCTCATTTTGTAACTATTCTTGGGTGGCGCGAGCTGAGTGCGATGGTGCTGAGTCCTGTGGGAATGTCCAAGGTCTGCGGCCGCAATGTTTGCGTGTCCAAGGCTTTAATACACCCTCCAGAACATTATCGCGGTAATATTCGGCATTTTTTCTAATGCCACGGCTGTTATGGCGGCCCACACCATCACCATGCCCCGCGCTTGAGTTATGGTGGCCAACCGAAGGTGCACATTTTCAGCTGACCTCTTTCGGAAGTAAACACGATCATTTAGTTTGTTTACAAACTGCTGGACAACGAATGTTTTCTCATCGGAGAAAACCAAATTCGGCAGTTAACCACTTTCCGCCAAACGAAGCAACTCTTTAGCTCTTTTGATTCTATTTTCTTTCTGTTGCGGTGTAAGTTCTTGCACTTTTTCGAATTTCAATGGCTTTACCCCGAGCTCATTTTTCCATATTTGCCGAATGGAATGTTGTGATATACACAGCTCATCGATCGATCGATCGATTTTTGGCCACTGCGACGCTGGTTTCAATCAAGTTGCTTGTTTACTTTTTTAACCATTTCTGCTGATGTTGCTGTTGTTGTTCTTCCGTCCATTTCCTTGACGTCTGGCTACGCTACTAGTATCACGGTAACGAGCGATGATACGAGACACAAAGGATTTATTTACATTTAAATGCTGGAGTGCTCTAACGATAGCCACTTGTGGTTTTCCAGCCAAATATAAAGAAATCTCACTATCACGCTTCAATTCCATCACAAATAACATTTTTCCTGGAAAATTCTCACAAAAATGCTTTTGTACGCTTGTAAACAATATAATGAGCCGACACTGGAATAATTTTAATTACTGTCGGACGAGTGGCTTAGAAATGCGAACAGTCTGAAAATGGTTGCAGTTTTTTCATCTCTTGTAATAAAACTATTTGTTCTTGTTCTCTTCTAAATTTTAAATTTAATTTTTGATATAAAATCCAAAACTTTTTTTGCCATAATAACTTGCAACACCTACTTTCTTGTATTTTATAATACTAAATGTCCGTTCAAAGTAATTTGTTATTAACATCACATTTTTTGGTTTTCCTTCCAGATCACCCTCGGAACGTTCGGGCAAAGGTTGCTGCGGTCAATGGTTTGCTGGTCCTCCGCTACGTGCCTTAATAGCTGTTGTCGCCTTGGGCGGTGTGGCTTGTGCTTTGGGTGGTGCTGCATTGGGCGCCACCGGTTTGGCCGGACCTCCCAGTTCACACTTTACAGCGGCCCTGCTAATGATTGGTAAGCGATTTTGTTGTTTTGCTGTTTTTTTTTTTCGCAAATTATCACAACCGAATTACATCACCAAAATTCCAAACAAAAATAATAATGGTAGTTGTTGTTCAAACGCAAAACCATGTCATTGGCTAAATTGTGGCGCATCATTAGGGATGACAGTTAATTCATTCATTACATTGACTGCCTGCATTTATGACAATGATGATGACGATAGTGCTGGTGGCGGTGATTGTGCTGTTGACACTATTTCGTTTTACTTGTCATAACAAAAACAACAAAATTTATTTATATTTTGGCATTTGTTCAAGATTTTTAATGTTTATTTAATTTTTTTCGCCTGTTCGGGTGGTGGCTAGTTGTAATCAAGTACATGAATAGGGCTCTCAAATTAGCACTTTATAAATATTTATTTGTGGGGGTTGAAGTTTAAGAAAAGAGCATGATTTAAAAAAAGACTTTAAAAATGAAATTTGGAAATAATTATGGCAAATTCCCCATGAAGGCCAAAGTCAAAGTTGTAATATTTAATGTTTGCAATTTTGATGAATCAACTAAAAATGCTTGAATCATAAATTCAAATTGTTGATATAATTTGGCAATATAATTTCTAATGGCTCTCAAAGTTCTTAAAAATGTTTTCAAATTAGTATTCCTCTAATAGTATTCCTGAAATTACAAATAGTCCATTACAAAATATTCGAAAAAAAATCGAAATCATAATTCAAATTGTCCTTTCGATAATAGTACTGAAAATCCAAAACAGTGATTTTCAAAGTGCTCTAATGTTCCTCCAGAAAATCTTCCTTGTAATTTAAAGTGTCTTAGCCAGGTGTGTAGAGCTCGCCCTTGGCTACTTTTTAATTGTGTACTCACTGAGCCTTGAATATGCATTCCGTATGTGCCATATAGGGAAATATTTTTATTTCGAAATGGAAGGAGCTGTTCCAGAAAAAGCATGGCTCTCGTGACAGTGGAACCATTAGTCATTTAAAGATATTGTGCATTATCAGTCGGGTGTCTAACCCATGACATAACCTTACATTTATGTGGGTTCCACATCTGTCCATAGCGGTTACCATGTACAAAAGCGTGTACTGGAATTTTTACTCAAAATTGGAAGGTGGCTTTAAATGACCTACTTACTACCCTGTGCTGAGAACACTGTAAATTGGACCACAAGCTAGGTGCTAACAATTTAAACGCATTCATATATGTCTCTGCTGCAACCCACAAATAAATTGGGACCAAAACCTTTGAACTATTTAAAACAGGAGGTACCGTAATATGAGGGCTATACCTAGAACTGAACCTCCAGATGAGATAAAAAAAAAACTGCATTAAAGTCAAACGCCATATTTTTAACATTTTTTTTTTAATTTTATTGAATGAAAGCAAAAAATATCGGAAGTAGCATCAAATTTTAGAATAAGTTTAAATTTGTTCGAATTGGTCACACTTGGCACGAATTATGGCCTTCAAACGGCCAATGAAACCGTCACATGCTGCCCCAATGTTACTATGCGGTATTTTGCCCCATATCCGGCGAAACGCTTGCTTGAGGTGATCGACACTTTCCTATTTTTTAGTGGCAACCTAGCTTTCCAAAATACTCCAGACACAATAGTCCAACGGATTGGTAACCGGAGATTTTGGTGCCCATTGCGCGCTGGAAATGAAGCGAGGAACCTCATTTTGTAGCCATTCTTGGGTGGCGCGTGCTGAGTGTAATGGTGCTGAGTCCTATTGGAATGTCCAAGGTTTACGGCCAAAAAGTTTGCGTGCCCAAGGCTTTAATACACCCTCCAGAATATTTTCGCGATAATATTCGGCATTTATTCTGATGCCACGTACGATATACACGAGCGGAGAGCGACCATCGGCTGTTATGGCGGCTCACACCATGACCATGGCCGACGCTTGAGTTTTGGTGGCCAACCCAAGGTGCACATTTTCAGCTGACCTATTTGGCAAGTAACCACGATCATTTGTTTGTTACAAACTGATGGACAAGGAATGTTTTCGGAGAAAACCAAAATTTGGTGTTTTTTCTTGCACTTTTTGGAATTTCAATGGCTTCACCCTTAGCTCATCTTTCGATATTTGCCGAATGGATCATTGCGATATGTTCAGCTCACGAGCCATTTTTCGGCCACTTCCTTGACATCGAGATTCGCTACCAGTATCATGTTAACGAGCGATTGTACGAGACACAAAGTTTTATTCACATTTAAATGCTGGAGTGCTCTGACGATAGCCACTTGTGGTTTTCCAGCCAAATATAAAGAAAACACACTATCACGCTTGAATTTCATCACGAATATTTTTTTGTCCTGGAAAACTTTCACCAAAATGCTTTTGTACGCTTGTAATCAATAAAATGAGCTGTCACTGGAATAATTTTAGCAGCTGTCGGACGTGGCTTAGAAATGACAGCAGTCTAAAATTTTTCATCTCACCCTGTATATAGGCCATACAGGGGGTAAGGTACCCAAACTAACTTTATGTGCGGAATTTTGGGCAAATCAATTGAAAAATACGGCAACAATCACTAAAATACCGAATGTTCGAAAAATGTTGGCTTCAGTCATCAAAATTCCAAATTTTGGAAAGATATGTGCTATTGGAAAACTTTGACTTATATATAAATTTTTTAATATAAGCAGGAAATCCATTATGGAATCAATAAACTGAATTTTAAGTTTAATATTGGCCTGTATATACAGTGTACTGTTACAGGATATAGAATCGAATATGAAATGAAATCTAAATGTCGAGTTTTAAGCTATTTCACTAGAAACTGAGCCTAAATTCATGATACTGCCCAATATCGAAAGGTATATTTTATGGGCCAAGGGAAAACGTGGCCATATATAGACAATGTTCTGCCACAGAAGGTAGAAAATATTATGATCTCTGTTTGTTATCAAATTTCATACCCATTTTTAAAAAATGCGATTTTAGCAAACCATTTTTTTTTTTGGGAAAGCGATCTAAAATAGTTATGTCGGAAATGCTTTTTTTGATGGTCATAATATTTTCAATTTAGATATTTTAAAATTAAGGTCGTAATAATTGCATTTCCGGTAGACCCTTATTCCTAAGTCTTCATATAGATGCTACACCATTCAAATATTCAATTAGCTTTATATAATAACCCTTTCCCCTTCCCCATTAACGTGATTATAGCCGCGATTGCTGGTTAAACACTTAAATTACTTTAAACTAACATAGTTTTCTTGTTTTATTTTTTCTTATTGGCCATACAAATTGTTGGTCTAATTATATTACGCAGGTTAGTTGCTATGTTAGTTACTGACCAAACCAAACCAAACTAACAACAATAACGTAACAAACATAAATATTGACCCAAATAAAAATAACATCTGCAATGGTTACAACGCTGGCAATATAACTAGCCAGCATTCGATTGTTGTGGTAGGTGAACAGGTGAAGAGCACCCTTCACGGGGATTGGACAATTGTAGATATAATTTCTCACCTCATTGCCTTAAAACTTTGGATAATTTTGTGGGAAGATTTCGTCTTTTTTTTTTTTTTTTTTGTGGTGTTGTTTTTTGTTTAGCCAATAATGAAAATAGGGCTTGTCACCGGCCATTGCGCGACATAATGAAAGATACGATGATGGCGTGTTTGTGTCCAAATATGATTTTAATTATTTAAAAGAGAAATAGGTGTGAAAAAATGTGTGAAAGATTGTCACACGAAACGGGTTAATTTTTTTGGAATGTTATTTTATTTTTTGACCATGGCTAATCTAATTATGTATAATTCGCAAATGGAACAGGCTGAGCAATTTATGTTTATGATGTCTTGTAGTATTGAAATTAAGTTTGCCAATATGCCTTATAGGCTGTTCACATTACCTTTGTTTATGGCAGGCAAACAATTGGTAGCCAGATGATCAAGGAGTAAAAGCTCATTTCAACGATTGCCCTACTGTCAAAAAATTGTTTATGTTTCCAAAAAGAAAATTTATTTATTTTTTTTAAATTATTGCGTCTGTTGGTTTTGGCTGTGCCGTGTCTGTGCCCAGTCATAATACCAACGAGCATAATCCCCATTGCAATTATGAGGTAATGTCCGGTTTGTTTTTGGTCATAGAAATCTGTGATTCGCGGTAGCCGGTGCTCAGAGGAGAAAATCTCAAGCCATGGTCAAAGGCCGGCTACTCAAAAAAATTATGAAATGTAGGTGCAGGACATATCAAAAGGGGAAACTATAATTTTTTTCTCACACCCAATCGTTTTGGGCATACCCATTATTATAGGAATTATTCATGCCCACAACATTCTGTGGATTATGGCCGAACCCTGATAATGAAATGGGGATTGTGTTCAAGAAAAAAATATACCGGAAAATACCCCCATAATAATTGGTATGTCCAAAGACTTTCTCTTTGGGTATGTCCGACATAATTCCCATTGCAATTATGGGGATTATGTCCGGCTCGTTTTGGGTCATAACCGCTTCCAAAACCTACACAATTACCATGGAGAGCATACAGTCTGGAATACTTACAAAAATAATTAATTTTAGAAATCTTTAATTCCCAGTAGCCGGTGCGGGACAGACTCAGAGGAGAAAATCTCAAGCCCCGGTCAAAGGCCGTCTACTTGAAATGAAATTTAGATGCAGGACATACTACGAGAAGAAAACTCAATTTTTTTCCCACACCCAATCGTATTGTGCAAACCCATTACTATAGAATTATCCCGCAATATTTTGGAGATTATGACCGAACCCCCATAATGGAATGAGGATTAAATCCAAGAAAAAAAGGGTCACAAGCCCCAGAATTTAGCGGACACTACCCCAATAATAATTGGTATGTCCAAAGGCTTTCCCTCTGGGTATGTCCAGCACCGGTTAAAGCGAGCCCATGTTTACTACTTTTTATAATATAATAAAATAATATTAAATAAGTAGTCCCCAGAAAAAAATGTCGTACTCCTCATTTTATTATGAGGATTATGACCGAAAAAA